ATCTGGCATAATTTTTTGGACACAATCCTTGGTCACGGATCAACATAAGCTGCAGGCACAAATGATCTATTAACTGGCTTTTGTAAGTAGTACAGGGAGGAAGCCTCTGTCTACAGTTAACAGCTACCTGTAAACTTAGCACACAAAGAAATAAGTCATTTTTAATGCTGAGTTATATTGGTTTCAGTTGAATGTCTCATTTCCAACTCAACTGTTAACTTTAAACCATGAAACACAACAAAGACACACCTCCAATCATGGTACTCCCTGGCTTGTTATTGTGGTTGTAGCCTAGCTGTAGCCATGCCAACTGCCAACTCCCAACTGGCTATTTAATCATGTTGGGATTCCTACTGGCATTGGGAATGCAAGCAGAAAACACTCTTTAGAAATGTAGTTCTCAGGGGACCACACCTGTGAGTCGTTAAACCTTGGGGAGCCCCCAGAAGTGTATTAGTCAGAACGTACCATTACTGAAATAAACCTCAACACTGTTCAACCTCAGACCAACATGGCCTTCCAATAACCAAAGAAAGTATTTTTGGATGCTCCCTTATTTCCCATGGGTTTGTCACAGTGGATGGATCTGCATGTTTGACTTGGCAAAGATTTCCTGGAGCAACCCTCCCATTTATCTGGGCTTGGGACCAGCACTAGGAGTGCATTAGCTTGTGACCCCCTGAGGCTGGGTTTGTATCTCCTCCAAAAACAAATCAAAGTAAACTAAATTATTAAAGTGATAAAAAAAATGTGTATCTAGAACAATAGGTAAATCAAATGCAATTTGTAATTGTCCCTAAAGCATGAATATAAATTGGTAGAGTAGCATAAACTGTCTGAAATGCAAAACATAAACAGTTCCTGATGAAATACAGACTAAGCGGACACAGTCTAGCCACAGAGAACCAGTGACACAAGAAAGCTGGCCTATGAATCGAGGAAGAGGCACCGCAGAACAGTTCTTCTTAAAATATAACAATTAATATCAGAGCCAAATTTGGTTTGTGAATCTTCGCATAGGTGGATAACAGTGAAAAACAGCTGATTCTGTTAGTTGAGGGACCTGCAGCATCTATCTAAACTATCTATTGGGGTTTGTGATACAGCCTCAAAAATCATATTACAATATTTAAAGTAATTTTACAATAATGATCATTCTGACAATATTGGACAAATAAAATGCTGATAAAACGTTTTCCATCCTTCTTTTCCAATGAGCTACTGTCATTGAAGACAAACTACCTTATTCAAAGTGTGAATCTTTCGCCACAAGGTGAAAGCAGAAGCAGCATTAGAGCGTAATAGTAGTGACACAGCATAAGTCAAATACTGGTGGTGGAGTTTTCCCTGTAATTCTAAGTGAAAGTATAACACAACCTGCACATCACCACCTGATAGTATCTCCTCCTCCTGTACGTTCATACCCTGGTTTTACATGGTGGTGTCTTTTTGCCCCAAGTGATATAACAAGTTAGTTTCCACGTTTATCAGGAACAGTTTTCTTGTATATTTTGCAAAGAATTTTTTTTTTTTTGGAGTTTGTTGAAATAGCTTCCTTTTTACAAAATCAGAGTTTGCCATCCAGCTCTCTATGTCAGACATGCCTGTTCTTGTCAAGTTGTTGTGTTCACTAAGGAACATAGATGCCTTTTATATCCCATAAAAATGTATTCCCCATATTATCGCAGAGGATTCATCCCTACTACTTACATAAAACATTGTTAAACGTTCTAAAAATCAGTTTAAAATACAAAGAGGAGTACAGAGAGAACTGCCCATGGCAGCGTAAAAGTCCCAGCTAAAATTGATTACCAATGCAAAACTTGGCTCACAAGCAAAGTGGAATTAAATACTTCAATCTCCAATCACTGGGGCCTTTTTGGCCAAAATCAATATGCATTACTGTCACGAGGGGTGTTCCCCTGATGGTTGGAAAGAGAGTGGAGCTTTTTTTGTACACGTATTAAAATAAATTGATCACAACACACCTAAGAACACATAAATGACTGCATCATCCTGGTGGTCCATTTGATGTTAGTATGCTGTAAATGATCTTTTAACAACTATTAACTTTTTTGCACTTGCCTCGCAAAAATGCAAAGGTACACACAGTGGAGGCTTTGATCACACTGGCTGGCACAAATAATACAACAGTTTACACAATTAAAACATCATCGCAGGCTGTGTGTTAAATGGTGTTAACACGTACTCACACAGAAACTCCCTAATCACCCTGTAATACTTAAAGTCTGAACCATTAGGCCCAGTGGGTTTGTGTGTCTGGTCTCCCCTGTATGTTTGCGGCTCTTTTCTACTATTACAGCTGCTGCTATTCCTACTATAACTCATGCCAAGCAGGAGGGATTAACGAGTCTCTGACAGCACAGCTGGATTTCTCTGCCTACTAACCACTTTAACAATATGCTTTGATTTTTTTTTTCATATAAAAATATGAAAAATTTTAATATTTCTAAGACTATGTTACAGTGCAACCTCGCAATTTTGTGGCTGCTTTCATCTGTAAAACGTCTTACAGTACCTTAGGCAAAAAAAAAGGAAAGAAAATGTCTTTAAAGTTTATATCTGAAGCTACTTGGAAGAGAACTGCATTGCTGTCTATTAAGCATGACTTCTTAATAGACTGTACAATGTCAGCATATCTATTTCCCCAGCACATAATATGTGATATATTTGTCATATTCTTTGGACTTTTGTGGAGCTACTGGTCAATTTTCATACATACACAGTGTAAAAACCAATGTGCAGACATATGTTTAGCTGCCCCCCAGGTAACACACAATAACAAAAAATCAAAGGTTAACTAGGCTCTGATTCCTCACTGCATTAAAGTATCTGTTGTGTTACACAATTTCTAATCTGTATTATAAAGCACACAGACATACAAGAGTAAACAACAACAACAAGGAATCAGGAAAAATACTTTGTATTGTTGCATTGCATTCCTTGCATTATGTTGCATTGATGGTTCTTTTGCAACCCTCTTTTCATCGTTATGCCATTGTTACGATTTTCAGCATTATTGATGATCAGTGTTCTGACTTTCTCATTCTCGTTTTAGAACCAAACACAGCAGCGCTTTAAGTGTCGTTTAAAATTCCTTAAGAAAACTCTAATGCAATCTTCACATTAACTGAATTTCCTGGAACAGAAAAAGCTTGATAAAAGTTGATTTATAGTTGCTGTTACAGCAGCTGATAAGATCAAAGAAACATCCCAACAGAGTTATGTGCCAAAGGTAGTTTGGATTTTTCAAATATGGTAACAAATCAGATATAATAAAGCTTTGTAAATTTTAGAGAAGGGCATTGCTGGATGTCAGCAACAGGGGGGAACAGGGAACCACAGAAGCCAATAACACTAATCTAGTGTTGCAAATGAAACTTCTGCTAACATTAACTTCCCACACTGACACAATATGACACATTTTGCCTTTGGATTTTCAGATTTTACTCATCTCTGTATTTAGCACGTTACCCTTTTTCACACATAGCCACCAGACAGTAAATAGTCATAAAGAGAGCAAAGTGCTGCAAAGACACGCGTCACTATTTTGGGGACTTTCTTTTAGTTTTGACACATTTATAGGCACAAAATTGATAACAGGAGCAATTTACAAACTAATCGGTGATTTCAATCCTTACTTATGTACCTATGACCCTTAATTTTTGTTTTTCAACAATTGTTTAACAACACTTTAATTAGAATACTTAAACTTGTGTATACAAATAGTGTGCTAGTATAATAATGTGTGACAATGGCATAGATTTGTTCAAGGGTTCAACACACAGAGCATAAACAATAGATCATAGCAAAGTCTGAAATATGAAGACAATACGAGACAGTTACATAACTGTTACAAGCTGTTTCTATGACGCATTAATGAGTTACTGATAGTAAAAAATGAGAGAAATAAGTGATATGAGATCGGATGAAGCAGTGCTCTCCTACATGCATTTTACAGTTGTAATAATACTCTAGCCATTATTCTTGTTATATCTTCATTTCTCATTCTTTCTTTTTACTCTTCTTTAACTTGACCTCATTTTTATTTTTTTGGTTTTTTTAATCACTGTTGTATATATAAAGACTTTGCCCTCACAATGAGCCTGTGGCACTTTAACTATTTTGTTTATTTATTTCAAACTATACCTTTTTTTTCTATCCTGCTATGGTAACAATGTAGCTTCCCTTGTGAGATCAATAAAGTATCTATCTGTGTAGATATGTATATTCTTCGTTAAATATAGCTGCTGTAACTTGGGCTTTCTACATGATTGCACAGCTGAATGAGGCTAATAAATGGGGACCCCACCATGAAGCTTACAAAGAATTGCATGCACCGCTCCCGCTTCACTCAGGCAACAACAAGGCAGACCCACCTCTCCAATGGAAAGCCTTTCACTTTGCTAACCTCTTTGACAAAGGCAGCAGAAATGCAACATGAGCACCAGAATTGAGTCAAAGTGAATGCAAATGTGCCTAATTTGCAATCAAAAGGGTCAGCACACAAAATCAAAAGAGGCACTTTGCTGTTAATGGGGTGCTGAGGTTTATGTTTGACAATGTAACATGTAATTTCTCAAAAATAGTTTAAGCACACATTTTGATTTTGCCCGTAGGTGAATAAATCTAGTTTGTAGTATACATCAGGATCATATGGGGTGCGATGTTAAAAGGTTATATTTAGACTGAATTTTATCCACTGAACTTCTCTTGTTAAAGAAATTGGATTTTTCAGCCAGAAGATAGACTGGCTTATTAAAACAAAGAAAGGGCTGAGGTCAGTAAAAGAAAAAAAAAGAAAAAGTTGCATATGCATGAACCGGTAAATTTGTTTAATATATCCAGTTCAATACACAGTACAATAAAAAAAAAATCTCAGCCCTTTAGGTTTCAATATGAACAACCCTATCTACAAAAACGGTTGTGTTAACTGTTCTTTGTTGCATCACTTTGTGTAGCCATTCCTTAATTCGTACCTTTCAAAGTGAGTTAAGGGGTCTCTGGTCAGATGTGCAGGGTGCTCCACCAGTAGAGGGGGCGGAGCTTCAGAGATCCCACTTCCTCTTTTGCTCGTCACTCATACATGCTCCTTGAAGAGAAAAGAGAAATAAATTTAGAATAAATATTTATTGTGCTAAGGATGTTAAAAGACACCAAACATGCTGGCTAGAGGAAACTCTTGTGCAATCTTGAAACTAGAATAAGGAAATGCTTTAAAACAGCTCTTCATTTATTTATTGTTTTCAAAATTCATGCATCGTACATAGGGAGAGTATTTTTTCAAATGCCTGGGAAAGGAGACATTTTCTGATCTATGAAAAAACCACAGGAAGCCAAAAACACACTTCTTGTCTTTGCATGTACAACAACGGTGCTATTCTTTCCTGCAAGATTACAAAGTTAGCGACACAATCTCACAGGGCAAGCTCCCACTCAGCAAATTATGCAAATGAGCCAAGATTCAGTCAAACGTGCCAGTATAGTGGACTTTGGAAAGTTCTCAGTCAATTAAAAATTGGCATCCAAGGTCCGCATCTCTTTTTATTATGTCATAAACCAATCATCGTTCCTCTTTCCAGCGGAAATCTAAAGGTCAAACATGACCAAAGACGCCGCCAGCTTTGCAGCAGGATAAAAAAAAGCAAGCGGGGAAACAGAGGGATGATGGGGATGATGGGGTGGAGGGAAGCAGGGATAGGCAACTGACGAATTCTCAGAACTGCTCATTTCACTGGATTAATCTGCTATTTTTGAAAAGTCCACAGAGAGCAGAGATGAGAGCGAATATGACTCAGAGTGGGCCTGTGTGTATGCGGGTCTGCGTGTTCTTCAATCCGGCCCTTGGCCTACTTTAAAGCCAAGTCATCATTCTGGTCCACTGGGGCCTCATATTGCCAGCCAGTGTATATATGTGTATATTGAGGAATTGTATTACAAAAGCAGCCATACCATAAATCTCTTCCTGCCAGCCCACACACTTCTGCATTAGTGAGTGTGAGGAGGCTGTGCTGCAGTGCAGGTATGCCTCAGTATGAGAAGAGTCGTGGCCACCAAAGGTGTCTGCCTGTCTCCTTCTGGGTGAGTCATCAATCCTCATCTCTCTCTTACTTTATCTCTCATATACGTCGTAAGCCGTCTCTGTCTGCCCTTCTTTTCTCACTCTTTACATGATTTAAATGAGCCTCCATGAAGTTTGAGTGGAATGTAATTCATCTGCAAATTGGAAGCAGGACAAGCAAGAGCTTCTAAAAATACTCATCAGATTCCCCTGACAATGACAAAATAAAACTACAGAACACCCACCACACACTCACACATGACCACACAACACTGCAGTGCAAATAGCAACGCTCTCTGTCTTTGTCTGTGCAAACCTCTTGCTCTTTTTAAAGTCAGAATGCTTTCTACCTGTCTCATTCTCTGCGAGTTTATGAGCTCTACATGTCTGGGTGGAAAAAAAGATGACAAAAACCACAAAACCCAAGACGGCAGACAGCAAGCACAGCAGTGATGATGAGAGAATGAATATTGTGAGAAAAGTGTCTGGCAGTAGTGCCCTTTGTTACGCTCGTGATAATAAACTAGCCTCAGTGTTCATGAAGTTTTGAATGACTGTTTTTTACAAATGTAAACTTGACTTTGTACCTTTACAACCACAAAATGATTTCGTAATAGATACTCCTGCTACCAAGGCATGCCCCATTTCAGAAATGAAGCACACACAAACACAAACACACTGTTCACAAGGCATAAAATATAGTGGCACATTGTTTTGGCTTACATATGGACAGAAGTATGAGGCAGAGAAAGTGAGCATGCAAGGACCCGTCCAAACACTGGCAAACACACAGTTGTGCCAGTGAAATCTGACATTATGTAAGCCAACACAGGAACCCTAATCCGGGCAGGGATAGCTCAGTAGGTAGAGTGGTGGCCCCATGATCGGAAGGTCGGGGGTTCGACTCCACTGAACGGCTACCCTGAGGTACCCCTGAGCAAGGTACCATCCCTACACACTGCTCCCCGGGCGCTGCATTGGTGGCTGCCCACTGCTTCACTGGGTGAATGGGTTAAATGAAGAGGAACTATTTCCCTATGGGGACTAACATGCACACGTTACACTTTACACTTAATCCAGAGAGCAGAAAGAGAAGTCTATGCCGTGAGTGTCCACTTTGTTGCATGCTATGAGGTGTGATGTGTACTTATAGTAAGGAACTTTTTTATTTATGTTTGGGGATATAGCCATTTATTTTTTCCTGCTGCACCAAAATCATACCAGCTTTTACCTTCGGAAATGAGATAACTCCAAAACACGGCCTGCATATATTGTAGCACTGACACTGCTATGCACATGAGCCAGATGTGACTGAGCCAGTTTTACTGCAGTGAGCTAATTTTATCGCTGTAAGGCCTTACATAAAAATATGGAAAAATGTATCTGATTATGGCTGATGCATTGTAAAAAAAAAAAAAAAAAGCAGCAAAATTTTTTTTTTCTGGCACAACTTCACCTGCTTCCAAGGTGCATGGAGAGGATGAAAGAAATAACATAGCAGGAACTCCAGCAACGCGTTTTGGCTTGTGGCCTTCATCAGGGTCATGATGACCCTGATGAAGGCCACAAGCCGAAACGCGTTGGTCAAATATTAAAATTGTTCATCTTCCCTCAACTGTTGCTGGAGTTCCTGCTAAAAAAAAGAAAAAGAAAAAGAAAGAAAGAACAAATTGCACCATGTACATAAAAAATACATAAAAATTTAAAGTACAGTTGAAAGTTGGTGTTTTAGTACTAATATATGAAGGATGTCAATGAGTGAATTTGGCAAAAGAAATTCCTCTCCCAAAGGTAAGCTTTTGTGAAGGCAGATCTCCTACTACAGACACCACAATCAGTATCAGGAGGCAAAAGGTTTGTGCATTTCGAATTGTCTGCAGTCTTTGCCATTCCTTTGTTTTGTACACCTCCCTTCTTCTTTGTTCCAGCTGTGAACCAAACCAGAGAATGCAGGATAGGAGCCAAAAGGCTGTGTCTTCATCCCACCCTACTCTTGCCTCTATCTCAGTCCCTACAGAACACCCTCTGTTATTAATTCAGTGTAACAGTCTCTTCTCCCACTTAGGCCTCTTTCCATTCAGCTTGACCCGACGTAATTCCTGTCGTAAATCCAAAATACCAGTGACTCAGGCGGACTAACAAATGCAGAGGTGAGGAGGTGCTCATGTGCGGACTAATGAAGAGATTTCTGCACGCAAGCATAAAAGCTTCTCTCTCTGTAAGCAAGACATTTTGCAGAAAGAGAATATCATAAGGTCAACATGACACCTTGCAAGATAAAGCTGGCATGCTTAAGTGTGACAGCTGCAGCCAAACAAGGTTGAGGAGCTCTGGAACAACCTTTGTTCTGGACAATTTAGAGTGTAGTGTGGGTACAGCTAAAACTAACAGACAGTCAAATCAGTCTTTCACAATCCCCCAAAGCTCAGTGTGAGCACACTGTGATCAACCAGCCATGTCTAAGCATTAGACCTAACTGTTCCCCTCTCTCCACAGACTGCCACAGAAAGTCACAGAGTAGAGGGGAGACACTCATAGAGAGGAAGAATGGCCTCTTCTTTTAGACTATGTGATAGCTTAGTAAGAGCATGAAGAATGTGTGTGTGTGTGTGTGTGTGTGTGTGTGTGTGTGTGCGTGCGTGCGATATGCGACTCTGTTTGTAGCATATGCTGTAACAATGGGAGCTTAAAGATGGCATCTTTGGTCTTAGCAACAACAAACAGTGCTGTGCCAATCCTGAACAAACTACAACTTCCGTCCAAATCCTTTCAGCATTCCCTTTGACCTCTTGCTCTGTCAATCACCTCGTGGTTCAAGTGGTGTGGGAAAGGAAGGCTTTACAGGGCCTGAAGCACACCATACACACACAAAAACCAAATCAATGCTAAATAGGGACTAGAGGAAAGGCAACAAAAGATGACAACAACATTATCACAAGTGATTGCAGCCGTAGCTCACCATTTCTGACATCTTTCCAGGGGAAGCCCAGGAGGGAAAAACAGGAATGCCAAGAATAGCGTGAGGAGAAAATAGGTAAGAAGCAGCTGGCCCAACATCCCTGAACATGTCATACTTATCCTGGATGACACAGCTCACCATTTTGCCTCTTTTGCTTACCTTACTAATGACGTGCATTGGGACCTACATGCCTATTCCTTCCACACATACAGCTTGCACTTGCAGAGGAAGGCGAGTGTAGGAAGAGGAAGAAAGAGGAACCAAAGGACAGACAGAAAAGGACAGAGCGAGTAACAGAAAGACAGAGATCTGCTTCCTGTTTACTGACGGCAGAGATTGCAGGAAACAAAGCACCAGGCCACAAGACTGTTAACAGTAGTGACAAAGAACACAGCATAGATACACACTACCTTCCCTCTTCTGTGTCCTGAGTGATTAAACAGGCCAGATTTATCATCAACTTCCCCATCCATCTCTGTGTATCTTGGTAACATCTGCATGTTTGTGATTTGTTCTTGGTTTCTATCTCCCTCCTGCCCTTGTTCTAGCCAGCCGCCGTGCTAACAGGATCAAGCTTAAGCGCATGCACACCCCCAGCTGTGTGCACAAATGCTCCCGGCAACATTCACCAATCTAAGACAGACTTCCCAGCAATTCCACGTGGCGCTGCAATGCACTGCTTTTGTGGTTTAGTCAAAGTGTGGATTTAATGCAGTTTCCTATCACATGAGCTGGCTTTTAGCCACACTCACTGCAACTACATTGTAATTTCTGGAAAAATATCTTTGGAAACACTTGAAAAGAAAAATGAGAAGTATTTATAATTACTTTATGAAATTTAGAACACATTTCTATCTTATGATTCAGTCACACTAGAGTAAAAATAGGATGGCAAACTCCTTATGACTAGTGACTCAGTGGTTGCCTTTTTTTTCTGTTGGAGTGCAAGCAATGCAAGCATACAGGTAACCTAGTAAGAGACAACCTGCCTGAAACCAATTGCAGCCCCACTCACTGATCACAATCATTGAAGGACAGACTGGCGATGGGTTGCCAATATTTGGTGTCTACT